ACATGTTAGGACACAAAAAAAGTCTCTATAAATTTTAAAAGATTGAAATTATATCAAGCATCTTCTCTGACCATAATGGTATGAATAACAACAACAACAAAAACACTGAAAAACACACAAAGACATATTACCAGCCAAAGAATGGGGAATGAGATCAAGAAAGACATCAAAATATACCTTAAAACAAATTAAAATGAGAACACAACAATCCCAAATCTATGGGACACAGTGAAAGCAGTCCTCGGAGGGAAATTTATAGCATTACAGGCCTTTCTCAAGAAACAAGAAATATCTCAAATAAACAACCTAACTTTGTACTTAAGGAACTGGAAAAGGAACAACAAACAAAGCCCAAAGTGAATAAAAGGAAGGAAATAATAAGGATCAGAGCAGAAATAAGCAAGATGTAGTCTAAAATCAAGAACTGGTTCTTTGAAAAGATATATAAGATTGACCAACCTTTAATTAGATTCATCAAGAAAAGAAGAGAGAGGTCCCAAATAAATAAAATTAGAAATAAAAGAGTAACAACTGATACCAAAGAAATACAAGGATTGTAAGGAAACATTACGAACAAATATATACTAACAAATTGGACCAATCTGGATGAAATGGATAAATTCCTAGACATACATTCTTCTCAAACTGAATCAGAAAAAATCAGAAAATCTAATAGACCGATTATAACTAATTAAATTGAAGCAGCAATTTTAGAAACTCCTAAGCCCGGCTGGTGTGGCTCAGTGGTTGAGCGTTGACCCATGTACCAAGAAGTCACCAATTCGATGCCTGGTCAGGGCACATGTCCTGTTGTGGGCCAAATCCTCTGTGTTCTCTCTCCTTGATAGTTCTACCTCTCTCTTCCTTTCCCTTCCTCTCTCTCTAAAAATCAATAAAGAAAAAAAATTTTTTAAATAAATAGATAAAAATAAAAACTCCCAAAAAACAAACATCCTAGAACAGATGGCTTCACAGGTGAATTTTACCAAACATTCAAAGAAGAACTAACATCTATTCTTATACAACTATTCCAAAAGATTCAAGAGGAAGGAAGACTCTCAAGCTCATTTTATGAAGCCAGCATTATTTTAATTTCTAAACCAGTTAAAGGCAATACAAAGAAAGAAAATTATAGTCCAATATACCTGATGAACATACATGCCAAACTCTTCAACAAAATATTAGTAAATAGGATCCAGCAATACATTTAGAAGATCATACACAAGTGGATCTTCCACTTTGATCAAGTGGAATTTATTCCAATGAAAGGTTGGTACAATATGCGCATATCAATGAATGTTATACACCACATAAACAAAATGAAGGATAAAAACCACATAATCATATCAATAGAAGCAGAAATAGCATTTGATAAAATCCAACACCCATTTATGATAAAACTCTCAGCAAAATAGGAATAGAGAAAACATACCTCAATGTAGTAAAGGCCATGTATGACAAACCCACCGCCAACATCATACTCAATGGACAAAAACTAAGAGTGTTTGCCTTAAGATTAGGAACAAGACAGGGATGTCCACTTTCACCACTCTTATTCAACATAGTATTAGAAATCCTGGCCACAGCAATCAAACAAGACAAAGAAATAAAAGGCATTCAAATTGGAATGGAAGAAGTAAAGCTGTCATTATTTGCAGATGACATAATTCTGTATGTAGAAAACCCTAAAGATTCCATCAAAAGACTACTAGAACTGATAAATTAATTCAGTAAAGTAATAAGATACAAAATAAATATCCAAAAAATCAGTTGCATTTCTATACACCAATAATGAACAATCAGAAAAAGACACTAAAAAATCAATCACATTTACAATTTCATATAAAAAACAACAATGCACAACAACCTAGGAATATATTTAACCAAGGATGTAAAAGACCTGCACTTAGAAAATTATAAGACACTGAAGAAGTAAATGAAAGAAGATACAAATAAGTGGAAGCATATACTGTATTCATGGATTGGAAGAATTAACATTATTAAAATGTCCATACTACCCAATGCAATTCCTATCAATATAACAATGGTGTATTTCACAGAACTAGAATAAATATTCTAAAAATTTATATAGAGCCACAAAAGACCCTGAACCTTGAGAAGAAGAACAAAGTTGGAGGAATCACAATAAATCACAATACCTGATATCAAACTATAGTACAAGGCCATAGTAAACAAAACATTATGTTACTGGCATAAAAACAGACATATAGATTAATGGAACACAGTAGAGAGCCCAGAAATAAACCCATGCTTATATGGTCAATTAATATTTGACAAAGGAGGCAAGAACATACAATTGGGTAAAGACAGTCTATTCAATAAATGGTGCTGAAAAAATCGGTCAGATACATGCAAAAAATAAAAATAAAACTAGATCACTTTCTTACACCATACACTAGAATAAACTCAAAATTGATTAAAGACTTAAATGTTAGACTCAAAACCATAAAAATCCTAGAAAAAAATACAGGCAGTAAAATCTCAGACATTTCTCATAGCAATATTTTTTTTCTGATATATCTCTAGGGCAAGGGAAACAAAAGAAAAAAATAAAGAGGGACTACAGCAAACTAAAAAGATTTTGCATAGTAAAAGAAACCCCAACAAAATAAAAAATAATAACCCACTGAATGAGAGAACATATTTGCCAATACATCTGATAAGGGCATAATCTCCAAAATTTATAAAAAACTTATACAACTCAACATCCCCAAAACAATAATCCATCCAATTAAAAAATGGGAGCCCTGGCCGATTTGGTTTAGCAGTTAGAGCATTGGCCCATGGACCCAAGAGTCATGGGTTTCATTCCAGTCAAGGGCATATACTTCAGTTGCGGTTTGGTCCCTGGCCCTGGTTGGGGTCATGCGGTAGGCAACCAATTGATGTTTCTCTCTCTCTCTCTCTCTCCCTCCCTCTCTGTCTGAAAATAAATGGAAAAGTACCCTTGGGTGAGGATTAAAAGAAAAAAACGGGTAAAGGACCTGAATAGACAATTCTCCAAGGAAGACATACAGATGGCCAAGAAACATAAATATTAAAAAAACCTCAATATCACTAATCATTAGAGGGATACAAATTAAAACTACAATGAAGCCCTGGCTGGGTTGGCTGCTCAGCGGTTAGAGCGTTGGCCTGTGGTCCAGAGAGACCCAGGTTCAGTTCTCGCTAAGGGCGTGTACCTCGGTTGCAGTGTGTCCCCGGCCTTGGTTGGTTGTGTGGGTGGCAGCCACTCAATGTGTCCCTTTTACATCGATGTTTCTCTCTCTCTCTCACTCTCTCTCCCTCCCACTCTATCTGAACAAAAAAATGGAAAAAAAAAAACATAAATAAAATTAAAAATTAAAAAAAACTACAATGAAGTATCACCTCACACCTGTCAGAATGGCTATCTCCAATAAATACAGAAATGACAAGTGGAGGCAAAGATGGGGAGAAAAGGGAACTCTCGTGCACTGTTGGTGCAGATTGGTGCAGCCACTGCGGAAGTATAGTTACCTCAAAAAAATTAAACATGGAACTGTCTTATATCCCAGCAATTCCACTACTGGAAATATACCCAAAGAAACCTAAAACATTAATTCAAAAGAATATATATATCGCTATGCTCATTGCAGCATTATTTACAATAGCCAAGATTTGGAAACAACACAAGTGCTCATCAGTAGATGAGTGGATAAAAAGGTGTGGTATATTCACACATTAGAATACTACTCAGTCATAAAAAAGAAGGAAATCTTATCCTTTGGGACAGCATGGGTGGACCTGGAGAGTAGTATGCTAAGTGAAATAAGCCAGTCAGAGATAGGCAAATACCATATGATCTCATGTACATGTGGAATCTCATGAACAAAATAAACTAACTAACAAAATAGAAATAGACTCATAGATACAGAGAACAGACTGACAACTGTCAGAGGGGAGGGCAGTAGAGGGGCTGGGTGAAAAATATGAAGGGATTAAGCAAACAAAACAAAACAAAAACAACTCATAAACTCAGACACCAGTATGGTGATTATCAGAGGGACAGGGGTTGAGGGGAGGTAGAAGAGTGTAAAGGGGCATAAATAGTGATGGAAGGGGACTTGACTTGTGGTGCTGAATACAGTATACAATATGAAGATGATGTATTATAGAATTGTACACCTGAAACCTATATAATTTTATTAACCAATGTCACCTCAATAAATTTAATAAAAGAAAAACACCTAATTTTTGTGTTGAAAGGAACTTAGGTGTCAAGTTTCTATGTGTGTGTGTGTGTGTGTGTGTGTCTAGCAAAGAACTACAATTCTTTTCTTAAGTATCTTCTGAAGAAAGGGAGTCTTCCTGTCAGTTATGTTTTTAACCTCTATTAGTGGTAAAAAAAATTTTTTTTAAATTTTTAGCCTTATAATTCAAATATGTGACTTCTAGAGAATACAGAAGATCTCATTATTTCTTAAAATTTTAATGCATAAAGACTGTTATTTTGCCCTGGCCGGTTTGGCTCAGCGGTTAGAGCGTCCGCCTGCGGTCCGGAGAGATCCGGGTTCGGTTCCCGCTAAGGGCATGTACCTCGGTTGCAGTTTGTCCCCGGCCCTGGTTGGTCGTGCGGGTGGCAGCCACTCGATGTGTCCCTTTCACATCGATGTTTCCCTCTCTCTCTCTTCCTCTCTCTCCCTCCCACTCTGTCTGTACAAAAAATGGAAAAATGTCCTCGGATGAGGATTAAAAATAAATAAATAAATAAAGGAGTAATTTAAAAAAAAAAAAAAAAAAGACTGTTATTTTACCAGTTGGACAATTATTCTACTATAAATTCTCTTTTCAGGCTACTTAAAACATGTAAAGCTTTCCCTCCCAATCAATGGGTCTATAACCAAATCTCAAATTACAGAATCAATACTGTTTTAGTTATTTAAGTTTAATAACATTTAAAAAAGTCTTTCACTGGGTTTATAAAAGAAACAGAAGTAAAATATTTTGATAAACCTTACCTTCGTTTGCAAATCAGGAACCACAAAGCTGACCCAAAAGCAAAGAAACCAATTCCAAAAGCAACAGCACCAGCAGCCAGAAAATAGGTTAAGTGATTAGAAAAACCTATACAAATAAATTATAAAAGAATATTTCATGCATGTATCTTCAATCTTTAGATAAAATTAAATTATATATTTCAAATGATACTATATAGTATAGTGTTAAGACATTAATTAGTTGGGAGACCTGAATTCTACTCCTTTGCCATTCTCATAGATTTCAAGATCCTAATCATGCTGATCAGGGCCCAGAGTGCTTGTCTCTGACCCTGCCAGATTTGAGACCTTGATTTTGTTTGTTTTTGTACAGCTGTCACCGCCTGTTTTCTTATCTAGTTTTCTCCCTTCCCAGTTCAGCTATGAATTGTTATTTTTCTAGCATCATTCTTTGCAGTCTTCCAAAACAAGATACTTCAAGATTTTGATTACCAACCACTACAAAAAATTAGATGAGGGAAATAAAGAACAATGATAAGGAATTTATAAAGATCTTAGGAATTTTTTAACGTTTTATCTATACTTCATCTCAAGCCCTGGCCAGTTTGGTTCAGCGGTTAGAGCATCGACCCGCAGACAAATGAGTCACGAGTTCGATTGTGGTCAAGGGCATGTACCTCAGTTTCAGGTTGTCCCCGACCCTGCAGGAGGCAACCAGTTGATGTGCCCCGCTTACTTTGATGTTTCTCTCTCTCTTTCTCCCTCCCATTTTATCTAAAGATAAATGGAAAAATATCCTTTGGTGAGGATTTAAAAAAAACAAAACAGAAGAAGAAGAAGATAGTGTAGGAAGAAGCCTCTGGGACAACTTCAAACATTTCAACATTTGCACACACAAAAAAAGAAAAAATATATATATACACTTTATCTCAAAGAGAGTAAAAGATCATAGTCAAACCTAAATAAAAGAAATTAAAGCCAGTCCTCTAATTTTTTTCTATTATCTTAATATCAACAATCTTTTAAAAAAATCTTTATTGTTGACTGTATTACAGATGTTCCTCATTTTTCCCCCCATTGACCCCTCCTCCCCACTCCTGCCCCTCCTCCTGCCTTTTCCCACACTGTTGTCTGTGTCCACTGGTTATGCATGTAAGTTCTTTGGTTTATTCCCCCCACCCCTTCTCTTTGAGGTTTGTCAGTCTAGCAAATTTGTTCTTCTTAATCCTTTCACCTTTTTCACCCATTCCCCCAAACCCGTCCTATCTGGCAACACAAAATGTTCTCTGTATCTATGAGAATGTTTCTGTTCTGCCTGTTCATTTTGATTATAGATTCCACTGTCGATAGATATGTATTCATTGCCATTTTGTTTGTTCATATATTTTATCTTTTACTTCAAAAGACCCTTCATCATTTCATATAATAATGGTTTGTTAGTGATGAACTCCTTTAACTTTTTCTTGTCTGGGAAACTCTTTATATGACCATCAATTCTAAATGACAGCTTTGCAGGATAGAGTAATCTTGGTTGTTAGTTCTTGCTTTTCATCACTCTGAATATTTCTTGCCACTCTCTTCTGGCCTGTAAAGTTTCTTTTGAGAAATCTGCTGACAGTCTTATGGGAACTCCCTTGTAGGTAACTAACTGCTTTCTCTTGCTGCTTTTAAGATTCTCTCTTTGTCTTGAACCTTTTGCATTTTGATGATGATGTGTCCTGGTGTGGGCCTCTTGGGGTTCATCTTGTTTGGGACTTTCTGTGCTTCCTGGATGTGTATGTCTGTTTCCTTCACCAAGTTAGGGAAGTTTTCTGCTATTATTGTTCCAAATAGGTTTTCTATTTCTTGTTCTCTCTTTTCTCCTTCTGGCACCCCCAAGATGTGAATGTTGGCATGCTTGAAGTTGTCCCAGAGGCTCCTTACACTATTCTCATCTTTTTGGATTTTTTTTTCTTTTTGCTGTTCTGATTGGGTGTTTTTTGCTTCCTTATATTCCAAATCAATGGTTTGCTTCTTGGCTTTACCTACTCTACTATTGAATCTGTGTAAATTATTCTTTATTTCAGTTAGTGCCTCCTTCATTTGGTCCTTTTTTATGCTCTTGAGGCCCTCAGTTCACTGAGGTTCTCACTGAGTTCATTGAGCATCCATATAAGCAGTATTTTGAACTCAGCATCTGTTAGGTTGCTTATCTCCATTTCGCTTAGTTCTTTTCCTGGAGATTTTTTCTGTTCTTTCATTTGGGACCTGTTTCTTTGTCTCCACATTTGGGCTGCCTCCCTGTTCTTGTTTCTATGTATTACTTAACAAGAGGTATGGGGCTATCTGAGACCAGATGCTGCTTGTTTGAAAGAATTTCGGAAAACCTGAAGCAGGATCCAAGACAGACCAATCCTATGGTTAAGCTACTGGCAACAGCTTAGGTGGGCCTGAAAGTTGGGTGGGGCGGGGCCTCAGGGAATCACCAGGGCAGGGCAACCAGTGTCAGCCAGGTTGCTGGAGTCCCAGATATGGCGACTGTCTGCCACCCCAGGGAAGGGCTCACAAAAGGAACAAAGGCCTCTGACAGCACATCTGTCCCGGAGAAAGCCCCCTCTCCAACCCTTGCTCCAATGCCACACAGCTCAGCTCTTCCCTGTATGTCTCTGGCACCCCTCGAGCTGCCTCCCCTCCAAGCTTAGAGGGAGTGAGTCCAATAAGTCTGTGCGCGGGCCCTTTAAGGAGCTGCCTGGGGCTCCAGCCATCTCATCTTCCGTGAGCCTTAGTTCCCGCTGGTTTTTCCAGCCAGAAGTTATGGGGACTTTTCTTCCTGGCACCAGAACTCTGAGCAGGGTGCCTGGTGTGGGACAGGGACCCCTCAGTCCTCAGAGAGGACCTTCCCTGCCAAGGTGTCCTGCTGATTTTTATCCGTCGCACGTGGGTGTGAGACTAGCCCTTCCTCCTCTGCCCCTCCTACCAGTCTCGATGTGGCTGCTTCTTTAATTTCATAGTTGTAGGACTTCCATGCAGCTCGATTTTAGGTGGTTTTGAATGATGGGTGTTCTGTAGTTTAGTTGTAACTTTGATGTGGTTGTAGGAGGATGCAATACCGCATTTACCTATGCCGCCATCTTGACCGGAAGTTCAACAATCTTAATGCTGGTATGTATTTAAAATAAATAGGAATAAAGAAAGGTAATTAGTCAGATTAATCAAGTAGTCATTAAGAATCTAAAATCTGGCTAGAGAGAAGATGGCGGCAGGCCGGACCGGAGCGAGGGTGAGTGTGTGAGAGAGTGAGCTAGTGTGTGAGAGAGTGTGAATGGACGTGAAGGTGGAGGATCAAACTCCTGCAGTGCAGAGATGCAGAGCAGAAGGTTCCTGTGCTGTGGACGGGAACAGCCAGCTATCATGGTAAGTGGCTCTTCAGGGCACTTCTCCCAGCGCTACAGGGAGTTCCCACCACTTTGGAAGATCCCAGGTCTTCCCTGGGAGGAGGTAGTGGGAGTGACTAGGGCCTAGTAACCTGAGCCCACCAGTGCAACTGTCACCATCAGACCAGTGGACACTTTGTGTCAACACCGACCAGTGCACAGTAGTGGAGCTCCCAAGGTGCCAGTCATGGAAGCCATTGACATCTGGGAGCCCAGCACCATCCCCCACAATAGCAGCCTAATCAGAGTCGAGTTATACATCCAGCAACAGAGGCTGGGGAGCAGACATCCATCCCAGCCTCCAGCGGCAGGACTTGGGGCTTCACAGAGGCCTGGACGGTCCAGCAGCTCACAAGAGCGGTGGGAAGCCAGAGCCTGAGAGGGACTGGTGCAATCCAGCTGCCTTCCCACAGGACCTTCAGGGTGTGGGGGCACCAGAGAGGCCTGTGGGATCCAGCAGGGACTGTGCAATCCAGTTACCCGTGGGACCTGTGGAATGCTGAAGCACAAGAGAGGCCTGTGTGACCCAGGAGGGACTTTGTGATCTAGTAACCTGCGGGACCTGCGGGGTGCTGAAGCACCACAGAGGTCTATGTGACCCAGCAGCCCATAAGATAGGCGTAGAGCCAGGTACCCAAAGGGACTGTGAAATCCAGTTACCCGCAGGACCTGCAGGGTGCCGGGGCACCAAAGAGGCCTGTGAAACCCAGCTGTGCACAAGATAGGCATAGAGGATGAGAAAATGGAGGCAGAGTGAAAGGAAGCTACACAGACAATCTCCCAGGACCAAATGGGAATTACAACTAAAATAAAGACAAATCCTCAGAAAAAAGCAACAGAAAAGCAGCAGGACAGGACCATATAACCAGGGACACTGGTAGGACCTGCAGAGGCATGAGAGGATGGTGGGCTGGGAGCCCATAGACAGCAGCAGTCTTAGCTCTGAACAGCAGCCTTGGAGAATAAAGACCAAGCCCGCTCCACAGCGTAGAGAGCCAGGACAGAGCACTAACATAGCCACAGCTACTCACCTGGGGGCTGCGGCAGAGGCAAGGCAAATTGGGCTGGAACTCTGTGGAAACACCCAGGATTTGGAGGGCACTCAGAGTTTTTGCTGAGTTGCAGACACAAAGGACAGTGGCCAGTGTGCTCATTCCCAGAGCTGTGGGGAAAAGCAGTAGCCTCCCACCCCAGGAGAGTGAGCCTTTCCCAGGTGAGGCAAAGAAACACAAATTGGGGCTCATTAACAACCAGCATCTATCCCACCCTCTGGAAAACCTCTTGTGCAGAACACCAGGGCTACATTCCAAGGCACCGAGTAACTGAGACTACTAGCCTCCAGGAAAAAACTAGAGGGTAACTGAACCTTTCCTGGGCTTGCAAATCTACCCAGGAAAGTAAGAATTGACAGAGGTGTTTAACATGGGCCACCCAGGCTCATCCAAACTCAGTAGAGGAAGCCACAAACAGCAGAATACCAACACCCACAGGGACAATTTGGCAGGCTCCAAAACCCACTGAGATAGCCAAAACGGTAAAACAAAGAAACAAATCCCAAATGAAAAAACAAGAGAACTCAATCGAAGATGAGATCAATGAAATGCAGTTAAGCAAATTATCAGAGGCAGAGTTTCAGAGCCATGATCTTGAGGAAGCTCAACAGCATGAGTAAGGACATCAGCACCATGAGTAAAGATATAGAAACATTGAAAACAAACCAAGTAGAAATGAAGAATGACATATCAGAAATAATGAACACATTGGAAGGACTAAACAGCAGAGTAGAGGAAGCTGAGGACCAGATCAGTGAATTAGAAGACAGGGTAGAAAAAAATCAACCAATCAGAAAACCAAAATGAAAAAACAATTAAAAAACAGGAAGATAGCTTAAGAGAACTGTGGGACAACTGGAAACGTAATAACATTTGAATCATAGAAGTCCCCGAAGAAAAAGAAAATGAGTAAGTGTTAAAGAATATATTTGAAGAAATAGTGACAGAAAACTTCCTTAATTTGGGGAAGGAAGAGGGCATTCAAGTTCAAGAAGCATAGAGAGGCCTAAGTAAGAAGAACTCAAACAGGCCCACACCAAAACACATAGTAATTAAAATGCCAAAAATTAAAGACAAAGAGAGAATCCTAAAGGCAGCAAGAGATAAGCAACAGGTTACCTACAAAGGAAACCCCATAAGGCTCTCAGCTGACTTCTCAACAGAAACACTATAGGCCAGAAGGGAGTGGCATGAAATAATCAAGGTCATGAAAAACAAGGCTCTGAATCCAAGACTACTCTGTATAGCAAGGCTACCATTCAAAACAGAAGGTCAAATAAAGAGCTTCCCAGACAAAAAAAAAAAAAGGCTAAGGGAATATATTAACACCAAACTAGCACTGCAAGATGTGCTAAATGGACTGCTGTAATTAGTAGAAGAAATAGGAAGAAAAATATAACCACACTAAACAAAAATGGCAATAAATAAGTACATATCAATTATCACCTTAAATGTAAATGGATTGAATGCTCTGATAAAAAGACACAGAGTAGGGAACTGGATAAGAAAGTATGACTCACATATATCTTGCTTACAAGAGAACCACCTCACAACAAATGACTCACATAGTTTGAAAGTGAAGGGATGGAAAAAAATCTTTCAAGCAAACGGAAAGCAAAAGAAAGCTGAGGTAGCAATACTCAAATCTGATAAAGTAGATTTCAAAATGAAGGTCATAACTAGAGACAAAGAAGGCCACTACATAATATTAAAAGGATCTATCCAACAGGAAGATATAACCTTAGTAAACATATATGTACCCAATATAGGAGCACCAACATA